AGAAGCATCAGTCCCAGATGTAACTCTTCCAAAGGATAAAGTTCCAGGTTTCAAAACTTTGACCACACAGCAAATGCTAATAGACTCAGGGATTGATTTATTCGAAAATGCTGAATTGCTCGGAAATTCTCCCGAACTGAATGAGGCTAAGGAAACATCGAGGCTATCCTGAAAGGTTGGGATGAGGCTCTTATGCACACGGAGCACAAGTAGCATGGATTCTCCCAGGAAACCTTGCAAAGCAACGCCACCAGAGTTATGAAGGGCGGTGATAGATGACACGGAACTCTTCGTGCGTCTCTTGTCAACTTACCCCGCTCATCTTAAAGCTGTCAAAGATGCAGCCGGGGGCACACAAATGACTAAAAGTACATGTTTAGATTCGAAAATGAATTCTCTGTCTCGTGATGTATGAGGTTTTTTCCTAACTCTTATAGTTTAGGCTGTGGAGGGGGGAGGGGGGTTTGCATCTATGTGGAGGGGGGAGGGGGGTTTGCATCTATGTGTAACATACGATACTACTAACAAATCCCAGACAGTGGCAAATTTAAGGGGGCCATTGGGGGGGGGAGGGGGGGGTTGGAGTTTCGCTCTGGCTATAAACTGATTTCGAAATTGAAATGAAATCTCTTCCGGGATTCCTTTACCTATCTATGGTAATATATCGAAATTGACGACGCTCGATAGGAACTTTCGACCTTGCTGTGAAATTCTACTGACGGAAGTTTGTGCAGCATAGCGAAAATTTGCTTTTTTGATTCAGATAAATATTTCAAATTTTCTTGTTTGCAATCGAGAATAATTTAAAACGTCTACCAAAATGATTAAGTTAATCTCCAACAACGATCTTTTTTTAATGAAAAATATCAGCACCGAGAACTGCTGTAAACCACGCGGCCCGACAGTATTAGCAGCAGGAATCGCAGCAATTCGAAGCATTAACGGCAATTTTTCTCGTCCCTTTCCTCGTGATTAAAACGCCTCACACAGCATCCCCGAGGTGTTAATACCCCGTAAATTACTAGGCAAATTCTGACCACCTTTTCGGTCATTTTCATACCCCGCCGGTCACCTTCATAACCGACAGCTCAAGGTTAACTCGACCTTCGGTTCACCATTCTCGTCGAGAGTCTGACCCCGAGCCGAATTCTTTACAGGAAGATGAAGCATAAACTTAGTTGCCCCGATTCGCGTTTCGTGAGTTGTCATAACACTTGTTCTCGAAAGTGTTCTCGAAAGTGTTCTCGAAAGTGTTCTCGAAAGTGTTCTGGAAAGTGTTCTAGAAAGTTCTTCTTCAAACCGGATCGGGAGGGGCCAAGGTTTTGATATCTTTGTGCTCAATAATGTAATACAATAATAATAATGTATTATGCAGTTTAAAGTAATTGAATATGAAATGAGATTATGTTTGTGTAATATGTTTAATGGGAACTGACATCGGTCTCTCAAAGGTTTTGCACGATTTTGCGTTCGACAGGAGTGGAAGGAGAAATGCGACGGGCGGGGGGAGCGGGCGCTGCAGAAGTTCCGCTCCAACCTGGAGAGGAAAGACTGGACGCTGGAAGGAGACTTCGAGGAGGGAATCGTCGTCAAGTCCGTCTTCGACCGAGACACGGAGACGCATTTTCTCCTCACCGAGGTTCTCTCACCCCATCCCCCGCAAATATATATATATAATGATAATTAATAATTAAAAAATCGAATAAAAATGAGAATAACAATAAATATATAAATAAATAAATAAGAAAATAGGCTTTCTCTGCTTTCTTCGGGAGAAGTAAACCCACGATTAGAAATGCTGAAATAGAAGAAAAACGCAATTCTTGAAAGTGCTTTCAATTCGCGGCCTAAAAAATAAACCATCTAAAAAAAGCCTCGAGCTAGTGTTATAGAGCGCTAAAGGCGGAAGCAGAAACTACGAATTAATTTGAATTAATTTCCCCAGCAAAAGGAAGAGTTTTAATCGTGTCGATTCTGCAGGCCCAACTGGACTTCGAGAGCGACTGGCTCTTTAGGGAACTCCAGGGAAACGCATTGGAAGCCATCGCCGACTGGTATTCTGACGTCGCGGAATACAAGATCCTTCGGGTGAGTCAGTCACCGCGTGGTTAAAGTCTAAGGTACATTTCGCAAGTGGCTAATAGGTTGAATTCGCGGAGGTCGCGAACCTCGTTAATTAACAGGATTTTCAGAGTATCAAAACGCGACTGGGGGATGCTAAAATCACGTTTTGCTGATTCCGACTGCATGTCTCTGTTTAGCATATTCAGTGATGCAGAGCAACCCCCCCCCCCCCTCCCACCTTTTGCAGGGTGCTCGTAGTCATTTGTTGCTTCTGAAAATTTAGATGCGGCTGAAATGCATCACACGAACAGTTTGATGCTCTGAAAATTCTCAGTGCAGTCAATCCACTCAGATTCTGTGTGGCTCGTATCCGCGCATCCATCAATTTGAATACGATTCCAACATTTGCTTTTGCAACTTTCGCCCCGCCCCCAATCGACAGCGACCGACCGCTGATTGCTGGGTGGCGTACCAAGTGACGGAACCGAAACTCGGCGGCCTCTTCTACAGTCGGGACATGGTCGTTCTCACCCTCGCCCGCAAGGGGCGAGACGCCAACTTCTTCGCCTTCGCCAGCACGGACTGGCCTGGGATGGAGCCGAAGGGGAATATCATCAGGTGAGAAAAAAGCCTTCTTCCACTCATTTTTAAGAGTGGAGGAAAGGCAACATTGCACGTGTGAAATTATGGGTTGATGACATTGCAACGCATAATGGCGGGAAAATTTAAATCCCAACTGACCTTGTAAATCCATGAATTCGCTTCTGGCGATTGAAGTCCATTCCTCCACATTCATTATCGACACCGAAGATTTGGACTCGACTTTGTGCTGCATCAGGGCGGTGATGCAGGAAGGCGGCGGGATTTCGCTGTCCCCGGACCCGGGGCGGAGGGCGACGAGGACCGTGCTGCGGTGGGTCAGCTCGCTGGACTTCAAGGTCCCCGTCGTCCCGCTGTGGATCCTCAGGAAGCTCTACGTGGAGGGATGCCGGAACTACGTCCGAGGCTTGCGGGAGTACCTGTCGTACAGGCGGCGGCTTTGACGGCGGGTCTTTGGGATTTGAGCAGGTTTTGCTGTCTGGCAATGAAACAGTTTTTTTTTTGGGTCCGTTCGTTCGCTTCCTTTCATTTGCGGACATCTAGCTCAGGCAGTGCACTTTAGAAAAAAAGAGAAAAGTCTTAAGTATCTGTTCGTACGTAATTCATTTCTGAAGATAATCTTATGACTATTTCAGTATTTTATTTCCCCCCCCCCCCTTCCCTTGGGGGAGAGGAAGACTACGAGGACTTCCCGCTTCCGATTGTTGCTTGCAACAGAATGACGCCTGTCTCCTGCAAATGGGAGCGTTCATTGCTTATGGCTGGCTGGATGAAATGCAGATGACGTGCGGGTGGTAGATTCCATCGACAGTTTGGTCCAGATACTTTTTTTTTCTGAATTCTTCTCAAGACGCTGAGAGGTGGCAGTTTTTCCCCTTTAAACTGGAACTGAAACGAAGTTGTGAAACTAGGTTTTTCTCGCCTTTTTTAACTCGACTTTTTTTAACTCCTTAAAGAGTTACAGTGTGGAGTCCTCCTCGTGCCCATGGATGAGCAGAGGGGAAGAGTCCCCATAGCGGACCCCCTCTCGCCCCTTCACGCCCTCGCCCCTTCACGCCCTCGCCTCTGCCCTACGCAGCAGTCCGTCTTGAACCTCCGGCCGGACAGCACGCGCGAGTCCATCACGAACCCTTCGGCCGGACAACACGTGGCGTGTCGAGTCACGCAGCCTGACCCTCACAGCCGGTCAACTCAGTGAACTGCGGTGTGAGCCCCGAACTGCGTGCTGGTCTGTATAGCGAACTGTTGTGGACTCATCACGAGCCGACGACCTGGATCACGGTCGGCGGCCAGGAAACAACACATTCGATCGTCCACGTATCAGGACGAAGTGCGTGCGACTGTATCTCCCTGTATTTCTCCTTCCCCCCCCATTGAGTATCCTAATAAATTCTGCACAGTTGTTAACTTGATCTAAGGACGTACCTTCCTACCTACTTGGAGTCGTGGGGGGCCTGAGACTTCACTTCTCCCTCGCTAATTTACCATCTCTAAGAACACGCAACCTTCTTGATTACCATTCGACCACGTTGGGTCTGATCCCCATATGTAGCGGGGCATTCGTGCCCCATATATTGTGACCCCCTAGGGTTCGCTACAACAGACAGCAAGAAATAACTATAATCCCTCAAAAAAAAATTCTGCGAAATTTGAAAATTGCAGTCGTTCTGAGTTTTTACCGAAGACCTTGTGGTTTCTGGAAAGGAATTTTTTTCTCTCTCATCGTCGAAGATGGCGAAAACTGAAGACGAGAACGGAGTTCAAACTGAATCGAGGGAATGATTTTACCTCAGAACATGCTGGAAAATTCTTTATTTATTATGCGTCGCTGTCGCTAGACTCACCGCTGGATTGCCGCTGAAGCGGCAAACTTGGAGAACTTAAGAAAACGAGTTGGGGGGGGGGGAAATAAGGCACTTTGGAACTGGTTTGCTCAGGGATTACGAGGAAAAGTCAATTGCTTTGCGTACCTTGTAAAGTCTGCTGGAAAACATCAGGTCCCCTTCTCAGTTTCTCAACTCGGCCACTCGCGTTCGATCATGTCAAATATCCGCCAGGAGAAGCAGACATGACCAGGCCGATCGAGAAGCTCCGATGACTGACTGGCATGCCTTCAGAGGCGACGCGGCTGCTCCTCCAGTCTCGAGCGTCGGGATGCCAAATGATCATTTCCGGAAGTGTCAACAGATCCGAATCACAAGAACAGATGATTGCAAGAACGAAATATGTCTAATATTTATTGAATAATAGTGAAATATCATAATTTATAGTAAAATAGCGAGTCACTTATACACGATCTATCGGGAAATTCCAATCCGTGCATCTGACATCCGTGTGCTCCAAGAGGGCGACTCGCATGTGACTCGTGGAGTGGAGGAAAAGGCGCTCGTAACCCGAAGTTTCTGGTGTTACAAGTTTTGCCGTTGATATTGGTCTTGAGTTGGTTATTAGGCAAAATTTCAACCAGATTGACACATTTTGCATTAACCCAAAGTTAAAAAAAAAAATCAGATGCCTTCTCCCGAGGAACTTCCACGTTCGTGCTATGGACTGAGTTTCGGTAATTCGTCGATGACGATTGCATCTTGTGGAATGACAGTAAGTATCGCTAGGTGTTAGGTTAGCCTTTGCCGGAGGCAAGGATTACGATGGTATTAATCCTGAGTCCCTCGGCTTTAATGTATTTTAGTTTGAAAAGCTCCTCTTTTGCTTCTGCAGGATCACAAGACTCATGTCCTGGCAAATAGTCATGGGGAGAGACAAACGCCTTCATTCATTTGTATGACTCCAGGAGACAATGTAAGTTAAATAGGATGAGATCTTAGGTCAAAGCATTTTTGGAACACATGCAATCATGGGTAGGCCTAGACCTAGGCCCAAATAGGAGACATGATTGATATGAAGTTTTAGACATCATCATCTGATTGATTCAAAGTCTGCTTCCAAATTGACTTCCATGGGGAATCTCTATTTGGCCTTGCTGTTCCTTTTTCATCTGTTTAATAAATGGAAGTCATAGACAATATTGACTCAGTTCACTGGTATCAATAATGCTCTTCATATTCCCGTTGGTTTTGGCTAGGGATATTTCACCCCAACCCTAAGATTTCTTTCTCAGATTTAGCATGTCTGATGTCCTTCATCTTCCTTCACCTTGTACACTTTGTGCCAAAGTGTAATGAATTCTGCTCGTGTTGCTGATAGGTGACCGGTACACCAGCCAAGCAGGGGATGAGTCGGAACGGAGCCGATACCGTCTTCGGCGTGAAGCGCCTCCTCGACAACCCCGTCCACGTGTCCTCCCCCGTGACTCCCTTTCATGCCTCCTACCGGGGCAAGGTGACCAAGGAGGGAGGGATGGTGTTCTTCACTGGTGAATCGGACAAGAGGGGGACCAAGCACACGCTCGATGAGATTCTCGTCCTGCTCTTCCAGGAAATGCACAGTCAGTTGTTTCAATGGTTTCCAGGAAGGCCAATGCTCTAAATGCAATAAGTGCACTGAAGTTCTTGAGACTGTCTTTCTTAAATTGTTTTCATGGTGCTTTCATTCCAATAATGCATGTATACTGGCATTTCTCATAGCCGTTCTATGTTGCTTCAGGGGTTGTTGCATAGACTTCAAATGGGTTATAGCCCCATATAAGAGCAATTATGAATTGGATGGGCACTTTGCACCTTGGTACCAACACTTCTACTTTTAATATTGTTTTTCATCAAGGTGTTGGGGATAGTCATCGAGGTGGAAGCGGAAGGAAAGCTGAGGAGAAGATCCCCCTTGTTGTGGCTGTCCCATGGACCTGGGGGAAAGACTTACGCTTGAGAATCAAGGAAGCAGGGACCAAAGCGGGCTTTCACGTCCTTCAAACCATCAGTGAACCGTGTGCTGCTGCACTTGCCTTTCAGCTTGGACAACACAGTCAATCAGCTTCAGGGTAAAAGCCTCAATAATCTGCTGAATGCCAAAAAAATTATGACTAAGTCTGATCCTGGTTTATTTGCTTAGTTGTTAGAAGTTAGAAACTCACTTTGGACAGTAGAGCTCTATGTAACATTGTGGTAATATCTGTAAAAAAAATTCCTTGTTGGGACACATTGTTATTGTATAAAGGCCTAGCTCGATTTCCTAAATAGGACCAGAGGTAGGACCTTATGCATTGCTGTAACTCATCTGCAAGTGGTAGGAACAAGTGACTAGGAAGCAAAAGAAATTATTGTAAAAATGTCTCAAACTTCCTTTCCACTCAAGCAATGTATATCTGAAGCTGAGATATGTAGTGGTGGATTATGCGTAGGAAATGCATGGTGGTTCGAGTTGGAGGACAGAGCTCAGACGTGAGTGTCTTGGACTATACGGGGGGCTTTTACTCCATCCTTTCTCAGGAGACCTCACATGCCTTTCATGGAGATGCTGTCACTGGCATCCTTTGTGATCATCTGGCAGAAGACTACTCTTCGTAAGTCAACCATCCATGTGACTTCTATTCCAGTTTCCATGTTTCAGACTGCATTTTGCAATGGAAAATTATTTGGCCCAAGAACACCTCAGATATGGGTGTTGAACAGACACATCTGTGTGAAAGTGCAGGCATGATTTGATAATTGTATGCATTGAATTTGTAGTCTTACTGCAAGCTTCAAAGAAGTCCACTGCAGAATGTGTTTGATGCATTCATGTAACCTACTTTTAAGTTGAAGTTACTTCAGAATTTGTGATTAATCCCAAACTTTGGTGCAGTGGTGCACCACTTTGGTTCAGTTCATCCTCTAGATGGAAATGAAAAAGGCCAGTGCTAGATTGTGCACTGCATTGCATAGAGTATTTGGATGATGACCCTTCTATTGTAGACCATACGCTGATATTTCTTGAGGGTTGGTTGAGGAAAATCTTTTGCTGGCTTCCATGAATAGTTTCATCTTAACTTGTTGCATTTCTCACATATCCATACTCTCCACTGGTTTTATGGCCAGTGTGTAATAACTAGGCCCACAAAATTGCGTGAAATGGATATCTGGTATCATACCTGATGCAGGGAATGAAATGGCCTGACAAAGCATAAATTGCTGAAGCAAAAGTGTCTTTATCACCTATTTATGTACTTTGCCTCTGGATGGCCTGCTGTGAATGAATTAAGGCTTCATACTAATGTCATTTAAACAATCATGATTTTACCAAAAATTTTCCAGTTCTTTTATTTTTCAAAGTCTATACAGTTTTTGGATTGAATTGGTACATTACTGTGGTACTGTGGAGAATGGAGAAAATGCAAGCTTTCCAGATGATCCACTTAATGTCAAGCCTGATGCTCCACATGGTTGTTGGATGGTTCTATTAATATTTCACCTTCATCTACAAGGTGTCCTGCCTGTACTCAATGGCAGCGCTCCTAGGGGGGGTACCAATTCAATCCAAAAACAGTGTAAACTTCATGTGATCAAGCAAGTATCCTCATTTTAAAAACCTGCTGTGTGGCAAGGCAAGATGTACAGGGTGGTGCAAAACCATGCCCCATAGAGGATTTCACGGTTGCACTACCTTAATTCCAGTTTATTTCTTTGCAAGTGAGTGATGGCTGCAAAATTAACAAAAGAAAAGAGGGTGGGGTTAAGAAATGTTCAATCATGTGTGCTGCGAATTGAAGTGTTTTCAAGGTAATGGCAAATGATTCTGACATTGACTGGAATTTCTCCTATGGTGTGTGACTTTTGTGCCACCCTTTACAAATCTGGTCTCAGAAAGGTCTATGTATAGTCTGACTATTCAAAGTCTTTGTAATGATTGCTGTAGCCTCAACTATATATTCAATGTTTGTTTGTCAGGAAGTGGGGAGGAGATCCACGAAAGAACCCCCGGTCATACCTGAAGCTCCTGCTTGCGGCTGAGAACTGCAAGCACGTCTTGTCTTCCATGCAGACGGCATCGTGCTTCCTCGAATCTCTGTATGAGGGCATCGATTTCAATGCTAGTCTCTCTCGTCCCCGTCTGGAGAGTCTGATTGCTCCTTATCTTCCTCAACTGGGGGATCTCCTGCACCATGCACTCACCAAGGCCAATCTGAACTCCTCAGATATTGACACAGTAGGTGATGTATTAAAGCCATAAAAGGTGCATCAGTCTAAAGGCCTTCCGCATAACTCCGCATAAATTAAACTTTTCATTATTTCAGAAGATGAAAAGACAGACTATGAAGTTGGGAAACAAAAGTCTATTGAGTTGAGAAACAAATAATTATGATAGCTTTTTGGAGAGGAAAATGTTAATGCAGTTTATGGGTTCCAGTTGGTGTATTTCACAGGTGTTATTCTCTATCTTGCCTTTTATGACCACATCTCATTATTGGAATTGTATGACAAGCTGAATCTATTAGTTTCATTTTGTACCATTTCTAGGTGATCTTGTGTGGAGGAGGTTGCCGGATTCCTCGTATTCAATCCTTTGTGGCATCCCAGTTCCCAGAGGCAGAAGTGCTGGGTGGGACTGAGCCCGAAGCTGTGCTTGCAGAGGGAGCATCCATTGAGGCTGCCATCTTGTGTCAACACAGGGAAGAGAGCACGTGCCACGATGATGGTTTGGTGCTGGGACTTGCAGCAGACGTGCTCAGCCTGTCACGCCCGTTGTTGCTCCAGGTGGACGAAGAGTGGAGAGAGGTGTTTCCAGCAGGGTCTCCTGTCCCCTCACATTGGACAGGGTGTGTCCCTGCAGAAGGGAGACAGAGTGTTTCACTCAAGGCTTGGGAGGGCAAGAATGGTTCCTTGCTCTCAACGGTAAATTATTTTCCTGCTAGTTAGATCTTCAGACTCCCATTATGATAGCCAGAATTCAGGCTGATGTCAAAATAGCTTGTGCAGCCTGGTGAACATTGTTGAGTACTTGATTGAATGTTTTTGTTTGTGTAGATGTCTCTCAGTGGCCTGGCTCCTGAGTCAGAGATTCACATCTCCTGTCACCTTCAAGGGTAAGTTCCTCAACTTGGATGGGATTTGGTTTTATAAAATGTGCTTGATAGGGATTGAATTCTACCATAATTCACTGGTATGGTCTTGGTGCAAGATGCTGCTTCTGAGCCTATATGGGGAAGATTTTGATCTTCCAGCAATTTGAGGATTGCTTCTTTCTTGGCTTCCATGATTGTCTTTTGGTTTCCTAGTTCTTATGTGTTCTCAACCAGCTGATTCTGACTCAAATCTGCATTGCAATAAGGCCTCTTATATATTAAGTATTTTATTTGATGAAGGGGTTCAGAATTCCATTTTTATCATTGACACCTCACATTTTATCTGATTTCCCTGCTCCTTTCATTGAAAACCACTTGATATTAAGTGCTATATCTTGAAGGGACATATCTGAGGCGTATTAGAAGTACAGTTGACTCTTGTTATAACAAAGTTTTTGAAGCCGCTGGAATTATTTTGTTATTTCGGGTTTTTGCTATATCAGAAGAGAGTCATTTATCTCCAATAAAGAGCTGAATCTTGTTATGCCTGTAGGTACATGATTATTATCCTGTCGGCGTTCTATGGGGACCCAATGTCTTTTCAGGGTTTCATAGATGACACCACCTTAACACTTTCACTGCCACATATCTGCTGGTAGGTCACGTGGCATCACGGTTAAAGCATTGGAAAATGTGTTAGCAGCCAACTTCTTAACCCTTTCACTGCAAAAAGTGACTTCTGTTGCTTTCTGTAGCATTGCCATTGGGTGCATGCCAAAATCATTTATGCAGCAAAAGGGTTAAATGTGTAATACCCTCTGCCATGTAAAGGGCATGGACCTTTTGAAGCCTTGTAAAATGGAGCTTGACAAAAAGCTGCTGTGTGTGAGCACTGAAGTGCTTCATTGTGCACCTGTGCACTTTCAATCTGGGTACAGAAATTTTTTTATATTTGATTTCATTATATCCTAGTTTTTTAGCATGGGTGTCTAAGGACATATGACAGGGCAATGTAAAAGATTTCAGGATAATATATTTTTTTGTTATATCAGTGCTTGTTATAGCGAGAGTCTACTGTACCTGCTTCTTGAGTGGAAGCCAATGAAAAGCCCTATCTTGGGAGCAATGAGTTTCAGTTCATTATACACTTGTGGGAGGCTTCAAGAATCAGACAATCATTGAAAACGATGTAATAAAATTATATTTGGATGTCAAATGAAGATATAGGTTTGGGAAGTTTATTTTGACCTTCCTTGATGTACAAATGAGTTTTCATTTGCATTATTGTAGTTTGGGGTCATTGGACATCACAGCCATGGATAGCGTCTCCAATGAGTCTGTCAACTGTGTCATTCAGGCCAGCTCTTGATGTTCCTGACTCTATTCTGAATAAATTTGTTTTTTCTTACTTGAATGATATGAAATTCATATGTATGTGTTGACAAGTGCCCAAGGATCAGTTAGTAGCTGATCTTGATGAGAGTCATTTCTCATCCCATTTGAGATTGAAAGTGACAAGTTCCTAATGTATAATAACCTATCTCAGTTGTAAGACTGATGAAGGAATTTATACTTAACATTGATTCACTGAAGAATGAAATGTAAGAGCATGGGAGTTGTGGCCTATCCCATGAGAATTCTTTTGTAAGGATTAGAATATTCATGATTTGTTTGCTTTGTGAACTGTTGTTACATATTTGATGACCTGTGATGATATACCCCATAGCCAACATTTCTGAATTGTCTTCGCAGTTCAAAAGTTCCCACATCAGATCACTGCAGGTTCATTAGACCATCACAATGAGTGATAGTGAAGCATCTCTCCTGGTGAGTTCATTACCCTCCACCCCAAATGAACCTTTTGGGTTCAGGGCTCACATATATTTCTTTGGGTGCAGCAAGAGCAGATAGCGAGGCAGTTCGTGCTCCCAGAACGTCAGAGCAAGATCAACTTCTTGCTCAGTGGAGGTGGGGAGGGGCCCTCGCGGGAGAGGCGGGACTCCAGCGGGCCCCCCTCGGGGGTTGGCACCCTCTACTGCATCTGCCAGACCGATGACACATCTCGATTCATGATGTCAGTCTCTTTCTTTTCCACTTGTTACCACTGCCATTCTGCATTGTCTTGTCAAAAAGGGACCTCTGAGTCTGTCCGTGTCTGACGTGGCATCTGGAATAACATGTTTAGTAAATAAAATGTATTTAACTATATTATAGATGACGAATCAGCATATGAATGCTGTAAAAATTTGCTTTATGTAGTGACTGAAAATTCCATAATCCAAAGTCTTGTACTCTCTCTTTTATTAGAGGTGTACCGATGTGCAAAGAAAAGTGTCAGACATGACCTTTCGTGAAACTGCAAGTTAAAGTCACTTGCTCTAATGTTCACACATCTGTCATTGAGCAGACCTTAATAATTTAGTTTCAAATTCATTCTATTGATTAAATGAAATAATGAAATTAGTGTAAGTCTCCCCAAGATTACAGCACTTAGAAAAGGAAGTAAGCCTATTTTATGACCCTGTCGGATGTGACAGGAGAGTGTTGGCTGTGACATGTTCTAAAAATGTATTTTAAAATGAGAATTCTGTACATATCTTTTAATGTTATTTTTAAGGTATCATGCAAATGTGAAGAATTGACATCTACTCTTCACAGCAAAGCTAATTTGAAATTACCAGTATGCATGGAGAACCCATGCTGGTATCAGCTCGAGTAGTCCTATTCAGTCTCGCCAGATTTGCATCTTCATCACATCCATGAGTACCATGAGAGTGGTATGAATAATGAATCAATCATGACTAATTCTTTCATTTTACAATGTAATATTCTCCATCATTCATGCCTTCTGGGAAAAGAGATGATGAACTTCTGTAGCAAAAGTAATACTTGCATATTTAGGGAAACTTCCAGCTAAAATCCTAGCACCATTTGGCGGGGACAGACCCTTATCCTAATCCTTGTCAACTAAAAGTTTGAAATAATTACTTCAGAACTAGAATTGTTCAGTGCTCCAAGATGATTTTGGTGTTTGGGCCTGCATGAATTTGCTTACCATCATGTGACCTAAGGTATAGGGATTGTGAACATGCAGTACAAATCTTCGAAAAGGAATCAGTTAATGTCTTGGATAAGTAGAGCTTGGGGCTGCTGTGATTTCCTTTCCAAATGACAAGTGTTTCATGCTGCTGTTCCTTTAAACTTCATAATACAATGACCAATTTAAAACAATGAATGCAATGAATCTCTGTGAGCCTGGAGTCCTACATGTCCTAGAGGCCATTTTTGTCTGAGGTTAATTTTACAAAGCTTCTTGCAGTAAAGCTTAGTCTGCCTTATTCCATTTGTGCTTATCTATTGACCCTACTGCTTTTATGACACAGGAACTGGATGCCTTTCTCATATAATTCTTATCTGTTCCCATGATAGGGGAATGCTTAACTAATCTTCTCTTGCAGATCATGTGACAGATGCTACGATTGGTTCCATGGGGACTGCATTGGGATCACGGAGCGGGATGCCAAGAACATCCGAAAGTATTTCTGTCAAGTGAGTCTTGATCAACATGTTTCTTAATCATCTTGTTGTTCATGATGGATGCTTGATGTGAAAAACCCTGCTTCCAGGACTGCCGGCTTCGGGATCCTCGGCTGGACATTCGTTACAAGGACAAGGGGGAAAAGCGCAAGAAAATGCGTGGTATGACAGCTTTAATGTGTTGTCGAAGAAAGCTATTGAAAATAATGTTGGGTTGATAATCTCTCATGCTTTTGAACTGTATTGACTATTTATTTTTCACATTCTTTGATCAAGGTTTTATAACCCTATAACTTCCCCTTGAAATCTGGTGAGAGAAGCTGGAAATTCTTCATGGAATGGCATCGTGGAGGGCTTTTGGGAAGCGTTTCCTAATTTGCTCTTGTTCCATTAGGCCCCAGCTTCAGTTTTAAATATATTGCCATATCTCTTGGCTATTAGCTTTGAAGAAAAAATATTCAACCATTTTGATGTATGAGGTTGAAAGTGTGATCAAAAGTACATATTCATAATTTGATTTAAACTGCAGCTTTTTATGTAAACATTTATTTTTCTATTCTATTTCTCCATGATTTTTTCCATGAAAATAATGCAAATATTTCATACTTTGTGGAAAACCATATTTGATTGAAAGATAAAGATTATGTAAATGATGCAGTAAGACTTAGTTATCAGATGCACTGAGAAGAAATCATGGTTAGAACCAAAGTTTGTTATGAACTAGGTTGCATCTACTTTACTCTTCAATTAATTTACTTCTTTGTTTAATCCACATGATTGAAACTGAAGGTGTAATACTGTGGCTCAAGTATGTGTGCTCAGGAATAATCCAGTTTCAAAAGCCTAGTATTTAGTACGAAGCAAAGGATTCTCATAGGACGAAACTGAGCTAAGTGTCACTCACTTTTCTTATTCATTTACGAGCCACTTACTACAAGTTCACTTCCTTGCAAGATCATTTTGCCACCTGTGCTAGTTCGCAAGTAGCCAATGATGTCTATAAGAATTATGAATGGCAATCTTCCTCCACCCTCCTACATTCAGACCTACTGCACCTGTCATACCCTTGTGGAAATCAGATTCTAGGAAAGGGAATGTTATATATTGCCAATGGTAATTATTCCCCAATTATGGAAATTCCAGGAGCATGATGGAACGAGAGCTTTACAATGTCTTCAATTTTGTATGTTCAACCAGAAATTAGTTTCTCTAAAGCTGAGGTTCTTACAATAGCTGGGCTTGCTCTAAGCAAGGTATAAATTCTTGTCATAGGGGCTTTGAGACTGGACAAGGGATTATTTATCATTGCAATTGAGTACAACTGAATATTGATTGTATTTTTTGGAAAATGTTGATATTATGTAGGTCAGTTTTGTCAAGTTTTTTTCTGTTCTCCTGCCATCATTTAATGTAAACAATTCTGGAAATTCATCAGGTGCTCCTGCTTGGACTTTTGTGAAATTGAATCTGGGAATGTTGTTTGAAAGGGGAGTCAAATCGGAGCTGTGGGCAGTGTATGGCATGTCATCGAACAGAGGACTGCGGGCGCTGTGACTTCTGCAAGGACATGAAGAAGTTTGGGGGACCCAACAAGATCCGCCAGAAGTGTAGACTCCGGCAGTGCTTGAATTTGGTCAGTCTGCCCATTTTTTCCTTGTTAGTGCTTTAACATGTAACTAGCAAGAAAATGTGAAAATGATAATGGTGCTGCTTATGCATGAATTATGGCATGTTTTTGAACACTTCTTCATACATGAATCAGGGAATGATGCAGTGGGGAGGAGGTAGAGGATCCCCAGAACACAAGTCCTCAGGATCTGTGTTACGTGAGGCCAACTACAGTGATGAAGATGTTTGGGAGCCTGCCAAGATTAAACGACCAGCAAAGCCTGCTCACACACCTTCCAAATCGGTCTGCTTCCCTACTTTTCAATCAAGTTCATTACATCTTTTGGTGGAAAATAAAAATCTATAGACATTCTGTTGATGGGTTACTGTCCTCACCTTCTCATCAATTATGTTCATATAAGGGCCAATGGCTCTCTCTTCTTCTCCATCTTGACAATAAATGACCATATCATCAGGTCAGTCACCCATCCTTACTTAGTGTTGGCCAGTTTAATGCAGCTAGACCTATCTGGCACATTAGAGGTCATTTGTTCTTTCATCTCTTGGCCATGTTCTTCCTCATCCAGAAAAACCATTCATCAAAGACGGTTTTGTGGTTGGTGGAGAGCATGAACAGGGTGGAAATAAAATTGATGAGAATGATGCTAGGTTCTAGAAGGATATGGCAGCTTGATTCCTTTGATCGACTTTGCTGTACATGTAGGTCAATTACAATTAAGAGTTCCTTAATTAATTTAATCACCACTTTCCTTGATAAGAATGGCCCATTAAATATGTAGTGTGACAGGAAATGGATTCACATTGCTAATTTAATTCATGCCTTGAAGACTTGAGAAAGAATAGAGTTTGAAGTGGATTCTATGAACATATTAGATTTTGAAAAAGATGAGTAAGACATTCTCAGGAATCTCTCCTCATGTTTACAATGCAAGTCCCAAACCAGTTTTCCTATGAGCTCCATAGGATATCTTTTACTTTTCGGATTACCAAGTCATGCAAGATTGTTGTTTGATTTGATGTTCTGTGGTGATTCCAGAAGGGAAAAAGTGGTGGATCAAGTGGGAAATGGAAGGCTGGATACTCGCAGAGGAGGAAGCGCCGCCCGTCATCCTCGTCCTCAGAAAGTGAGGAAGATCTCTCTGCTTCTGAACCAAGGCAGTGCTATGGTCCTGGCTGCACGTCTTCTGCTCGCCCGCACTCCAAGTACTGCAGCGATGAATGCGGGATCAAGTTGGCCACTGCTCGTATTTATCAGGTGTGCATCCAATCCAGATGAATAGCTCAATTGAACCCATATTTTGATCAATTGTAAGTGGGGGAATGGTTGCCTTTTGTTTTTATTAATTCTCTTTTCCTCAGCAAAGGTCATCCACTCATTCCTTTGCTGATGAACTTTTCTGTGTCAAGAGGAAGGCAGACAATCTAAAATATTTTACTTGCCATTCAAAATCTTTTTGGGGTCATTTTTCCTAAATACATCTGGAAACCTAATCAAAAAACTTTCAGGAATGCAAGGTTCTTCATTTATCTTCTGATTAAACATTTCAGGCAAATGCTATTTGACTGCTAACATGTACAAAGCATTCATTCACATGACAGGGCTTCAAGCAAACAGGTGGAGGGTATACAGGGATTAAGCAAAATTTCACCAAACAATGATTTATCTCATTGGCTCACTGACTTTCTCTGCCCATGTTCTAACAGAAATCCCATCCATCATGATATATTCTGTTGCCAGGCATGGAAAGTGTGTGCATTCCCATTCACTTTTTGGGACTATGGGCACTTTATGTAGTTGAAGTTCCTTTGACCACTGAGAGGAAAGTCATGTCCAATTGTCAGTAAGTCTGCTGAATGTAGTGATTCAAATTGCTTCCTTATTTCATGGTGAGAATCTCAGGAGTGACTGGAAGCAAAGAGATGATAGTAAGAATAATTTCTTCTTCAACAATTTTTACAATTTTACTGCGAATGTGATATTATCAACTCTTGTTTAGTTGTCTTAGAGCCAAAACAAAATAGTTATACGCTGCAGAAATGTTTTGTTAAGGTAGAAATTCCCCTTAAACCAGAATCATGTGTTGTCTTGGAAATGCATGCAAGAAGTCAGGATGTGGACTGGATGAATCAAGGAAAAGTCCCTGCATTTTCCAGTAAAAGCTGAAAATCACCATTGTGAAGCAACTTCATTAGTTTTAACCTCTTGTAATATACATTTTCAGTTTTGCTCATGTTATATCTCAATGTTGATTCCCTGCCTTTGTTCTCTCACTATGAAGATCCTGCCCCAGAGGCTGCAGGAGTGGCAGCTGACCCCATGTAAAGCTGATGATCTGAGCAAGAGGGCATTGGAGGATGTCCGCAAGAAGCAGATCGAAGCCCAGAACAAGCTCAGGGAACTTGATGACAAAATCCAGGTCAAGCTGCCAAAATTCTTTGTTTGTTGCTTGCTGAAAATCCCTGCACATAAGGAAGAGAATATAATATAGGATATCGTAGTTGACGGTCGGCAATGTGTCATTGATGTCAGATGAAGGGTATCTTGATGAATGTGAGTCTTGACTGAAGCAGAAGTTGGAGGACCTGATCAAGCGGGTGAAGCAACTGCCGATCGACTCTCGGAACGAAGACGAATCGGAGGAGTCTGCTGGAGAAGGTGGAGAGGGTGTGATGTATTGCATCACGTGTGGACACGAAGTCCAGGTCCGGTCTGCTCCCCGCCATCTTGAGAAGTGCTTCAATAAGGTAAATTTGTCATGAATCTCTACCCTTCTTCAGTTTGTGACCATGTACTGAAAGCTGGTATTCCTTCACTTTTCCTTCTGAGACTACATCCCTCTATTCACATCTCATTCTTGGCTTAGTTTATTTCCCTTGGATCAGTACTTGATGAATGCTGGCCAATTCAACTCATGAAGCTAATTTTGGTCTTGGATAAAATTAATTATCTGCTATTCTGTATCAGCTACAAGAGACCCTCTGCCAGGAACCTATCAAATACTGCCTTTGCCCATGACTGCTGAATGCCATCAATCCTTTTAACTGATACACTGTAATATCATGCAATCATGTGTAGTATCTTGTAAGAGTGAAGTAGGGACTGCTTACAATATCATTAGTATAGCCAAATTGGTTGACGTAGATATCCCAGTGCTGTAAGGCATCCATATTTTACACTCTCATTTCTTCATCCACCACTGTTGACATTTCTGTAGATCTCTCTTGCTTGGAGCTCCTTCCTCAAATGCATTCCTTGCATCTTCTTTGATGATGCATTCAAAGTACCGGTGACAATGTTGGCCATTTGTCTGGCTGTTTTAATCCCCAAATTCCCATCCGTTCTTCTTTCCGTCCACAGTACGAGAGCCAGACGTCATTTGGCTCGGCCTACAAGACCCGTATCGAGGGCAACAGCATGTTCTGCGACTTCTACAACCCGCACACCCGCACCTACTGCAAGCGTCTGCGGGTCACCTGCTCCGAACACTATCGAGAGCCCAAGACTTCTGACACTGAGGTCAGCCTCTTCCATTTCAGTCCTTATTCTCCTGTGGGGATGGAGGAGTGTGGACATAGTCACAGGAAATGGAGTTGAAAATGTTGAACATGAAACTCTGTGTTTGGGATATTCTGGTTACTTTCATTAACTGTTGCAAGATAATCTACTTCAGTACAACTCTGTTTTGCAAAGATCCATATTGTCCTTATGCCAGGGTTGGGTAAGTGGGGCCACAGAATGATTGGTTCCCCTCACTTGTAGAAATATGTTGACTGGATGCTTCAGAAACTGATCAACTTCAATTCGCTGCAGCTCTGGTCAGCCCAAAATAGTTTAAAGTGCCAATTTCATCCAGCTTCCAAAGTGGTGATTTCTAAAATGCAATTAATTTGCTGGGTTTTTGCTTGCTCCTTACCAAAATACGCTTGAATGTAATGTGATTGAGAAAATTGACCCTTGAAACGGATCCTTATTGTACCTTTCCATTGAAATTTTCTGCAGTCTCCCTTTTCCAGCAATCAATGGGAAAGAATATGCCATTTATATCGGCTTTTAGCCAATGATTGTCAATGGAACAGCTGAATTGCAATGCCTCTCATTGAATAGGTTAATGGGTATCAATTTTTTTGTTTTGCCTGATAACACAGAGAGAGTGCCTCTCTCATCCTAATGCACTCTAGTATCCGAGCAAATAAACTCTGGAGCCATCAATTAATCGGGACTGTACATTAACGTAGCACTTGACTGTTACAGGTTTGTGGCTGTCCACTGGTGCAGGACGTGTTCAAGGCAACAAATGAATACTGCCGTGTCCCGAAGAAGAAATGCAACCGCCACTACCTGTGGGAGAGACTCCGGCGGGCTGAAATTGACATGGAAAAAGTCAAACAGGTCTGTCGTTTCCTCTATTCTTTTGCTTGGATTCTTCGAGGGCCTTCTTTGTAATGGCAGTTGGCTACGTGTATTCCCTTCCTGTCTGCTCTTGCTGGTGCTGGACTTAGGTCAGTTGGTCCATTCGCAGTGCTTCTGATGTGTTATAGGAGGTACTCCTTTGGGTACATTATACCCGTTATTCAGTACTCTGAGTTGTAGGCATGCCATGTTCTGATGGTAAGCCTTCAAGCCTGAGAAGGATAGAGGGCAACAACCGACTCATAGAGTGGAATGAATTCCATTCTTGTTCAGGAATGATAATTCTGACTTGTGAAATGCTGAATAACATTTCCTTATGTGGAAATAAGGGAGCTTTAGATACAGCCAACTCTCGTTGATCCGAACGCCAGTAATCCGGAACTCCCCATAATTCGGAAATGAGTGGTGTTCCCGGCAGAAGTCCCGTGTAGAACCCATAATAAATTCCTCCGTTCAATCCGAACGTCATTATCCGGTAATTTCCGTTAATGTGCGGACGAGTTTTCTCACCCCCTAGACCATGGGGCGGGAACCTATTTGGACTTGTGAGCCATATTAAGATTGAACTAAGTGCTCGTGNCGGAGGAGTCTGCTGGAGAAGGTGGAGAGGGTGTGATGTATTGCATCACGTGTGGACACGAAGTCCAGGTCCGGTCTGCTCCCCGCCATCTTGAGAAGTGCTTCAATAAGGTAAATTTGTCATGAATTTCTACCCTTCTTCGGTTTGTGACCATGTACTGAAAGCTGGTATTCCTTCACTTTTCCTTCTGAGACTACATCCCTCTATTCACATCTCATTCTTGGCTTAGTTTATTTCCCTTGGATCAGTACTTGATGAATGCTAGCCAATTCAACTCATGAAGCTAATTTTGGTCTTGGATAAAATTAATTATCTGCTATTCTGTATCAGCTACAAGAGACCCTCTGCCAGGAACCTATGAAATACTGCCTTTGCCCATGACTGCTGAATGCCATCAATCCTTTTAACTGATACACTGTAATATCATGCAATCATGCGTAGTATCTTGTAAGAGTGAAGTAGGGACTGCTTACAATATCATTAGTATAGCCAAATTGGTTGATGTAGATATCCCAGTGCTGTAAGGCATCCATATTTTACACTCTCATTTTTTCATCCACCACTGTTGACATTTCTGTAGATCTCTCTTGCTTGGAGCTCCTTCCTCAAATGCATTCCTTGCATCTTCTTTGATGATGCATTCAAAGTACCGGTGACGATGTTGGCCATTTGTCTGGCTGTTTTAATCCCCAAATTCCCATCCGTTCTTCTTTCCGTCCACAGTACGAGAGCCAGACGTCATTTGGCTCAGCCTACAAGACCCGTATCGAGGGCAACAGCATGTTCTGTGACTTCTACAACCCACACACCCGCACCTACTGCAAGCGTCTGCGGGTCACCTGCTCCGAACACTATCGAGAGCCCAAGACTTCTGACGCTGAGGTCAGCCTCTTCCATTTCAGTCCTTATTCTCCTGTGGGGATGGAGGAGTGTGGACATAGTCACAGGAAATGGAGTTGAAAGCGTTGAACATGAAACTCTGTGTTTGGGATACTCTGGTTACTTTCATTAACTGTTGCAGGATAATCTACTTCAGTACAACTCTGTTTTGCAAAGATCCATATTGTCCTTATGCCAAGGTTGGGTAAGTGGGGCCACAGAATGATTGGTTCCCCTCACTTGTAGAAATATGTTGACTGGATGCTTCAGAAACTGATCAACTTCAATTCGCTACAGCTCTGGTCAGCCCAAAATAGTTTAAAGTGCCAATTTCATCCAGCTTCCAAAGTGGTGATTTCTAAAATGCAATTAATTTGCTGGGTTTTTGCTTGCTCCTTACCAAAATACGCTTGAATGTAATGTGATTGAGAAAATTGACCCTTGAAACGGATCCTTATTGTACCTTTCCATTGAAATTTTCTGCAGTCTCCCTTTTCCAGCAATCAATGGGAAAGAATATGCCATTTATATCGGCTTTTAGCCAATGATTGTCAATGGAACAGCTGAATTGCAATGCCTCTCATTGAATAGGTTAATGGGTATCAATTTTTTTGTTTTGCCTGATAACACAGAGAGAGTGCCTCTCTCATCCTAATGCACTCTAGTATCCGAGCAAATAAACTCTGGAGCCATCAATTAATCGGGACTGTACATTAACGTAGCACTTGACTGTTACAGGTTTGTGGCTGTCCACTGGTGCAGGACGTGTTCAAGGCAACAAATGAATACTGCCGTGTCCCGAAGAAGAAATGCAACCGCCACTACCTGTGGGAGAGACTCCGGCGGGCTGAAATTGACATGGAAAAAGTCAAACAGGTCTGTCGTTTCCTCTATTCTTTTGCTTGGATTCTTCGAGGGCCTTCTTTGTAATGGCAGTTGGCTACGTGTATTCCCTTCCTGTCTGCTCTTGCTGGTGCTGGACTTAGGTCAGTTGGTCCATTCGCAGTGCTTCTGATGTGTTATAGGAGGTACTCCTTTGGGTACATTATACCCGTTATTCAGTACTCTGAGTTGTAGGCATGCCATGTTCTGATGGTAAGCCTTCAAGCCTGAGAAGGATAGAGGGCAACAACCGACTCATAGAGTGGAATGAATTCCATTCTTGTTCAGGAATGATAATTCTGACTTGTGAAATGCTGAATAACATTTCCTTATGTGGAAATAAGGGAGCTTTAGATACAGCCAACTCTCGTTGATCCGAACGCCAGTAATCCGGAACTCCCCATAATTCGGAAATGAGTGGTGTTCCCGGCAGAAGTCCCGTGTAGAACCCATAATAAATTCCTCCGTTCAATCCGAACGTCATTATCCGGTAATTTCCGTTAATGTGCGGACGAGTTTTCTCACCCCCTAGACCATGGGGCGGGAACCTATTTGGACTTGTGAGCCATATTAAGATTGAACTAAGTGCTCGTGAGCCAAAGATTTTCAAAATAAAAATTTTCCCTGAAGTTGGCAGCAGAAGCGTGCATTCTGCGATACATTAGAAAAATGAGGAACAGCCATGATTGATGAGCCAAACTTTTCGGCTCATGAGCCATAGGTTCCCGACCCCGTGCCCTAGACCAGGGATGTGCAACCCGCGGGCCGCATGTGGCCCGTGGACCTGCTCCTTGCGGCCCGATAATGCTTAATGGGATCAGAGATGATTTTCTCTGCGGCCGAAGGCCCATCACAACTTTGGTCATCCCTTAGTAACAAGAAATAGGCTGAGACCTTTCACTTCTTTCTAATTTTTCCTCATGTCAGCGGTGCTACATGCATATGTCCCGAGGATGAAGGTTCTCAATGACGTTGGAATTTCCTATGGGCGGGAAGGAGGTAAGGATCATCGGCCAATCAGCGCGACCTTATGCCCTCATATGTCCCGAGGACAAAAGAGGGGAGCCTTTTCTTTTTGCATTCTGGTGGCCCGCTTCGAGTCACACATTTCCATGCGGCCCACTGCCGATAAAGGTTGCACACCCCTACCCCAGACCATTCTCTCCCGTTGAACCGGACTTAGCAAAAGAGATATAATCCATCAGGAATTTTTTTTTTTCCTGTCACTCTTCCACGTCTTCAAGTTCCCTCTCCTTTGGAAAAAGAAAAAGAAAAACGCATGTCTCCCTCCTTTCCTGGAATCAGATAATGAGGAGTCCTCGCTTCATTGAGACCTTCATTCACGGTTTCCTGCCATCTCACTCCTCTACCGGCAGTCTCATCCGTCCTTGCCACTTGAGCCGCGAGAAGTTTCTCGCCTCCCGTCATGAGTAAGCGTTCTCGGCGGGGTCTCACGCTGGAAGTTTTGAAGCGCCTTGGACTTGGGGTGAAAGGCGAGGTAGCACGTGATTTGAATATACCAGCATCGGTATTGTCGGATATGAAACATAATTCGCGATAAACTGGAACAGGATGTTGTTTTGGCTGGTGTCCTCTTGCGGGAACGAATGCTTTGAACGTGAAATGAGGAGAAAATGAAAGTTTTAAAAAAGGTAATTTCTTCTTTGTGAATGATAGGAAGAGCTGAGTCAATATGAATAAAAGTTAGCTTGAGCTCTGGGAGCTGCAGCTCCATGCTGGGATGTCCAGCTCCTTCTTTTGTAGAAGGTGACATTTTGTCTGAAGAAACGGGAGCTTTGTCTCAACAACTCTCGAGCTAAAACTTGCAATAATCGCAGTCTGTCAAGGGGCAGACTCAGCTACAAACACTCCTTGTGGGTACGTGATCCATGATGACATGCATATGCCCTTGAGCAGATTTCGTTCCATAGATCCATAATGACCCACGATTTAAAACAAAATTTTGGAGTTCTCCGATTCTACTATATAAAAATTTGTGTAAAAGCATGTCAACCTAGATATATCCATATGCAGTACTCTGGAAGTATTGATAATTTCCGCCTATTCTAGAAAGCGCTCATCAGTATTAATAATATCATTATTTTTATCTTCCGCTTGGAATATTACCGCTAAGGGTCCTACATTTTGAAATTCGATCCTTATGCGAATAATTATTCCTCATCCACTTGGGGAACACCTGTTTCCTTGGAAAATTCCGATCTTACAATCGAGGAAAGGGTACTTAACGTACGTGAGCTTTTAATGGCGTTTCTGAGGAGTTCGTCGTAATATAAATATCCTTCTGATAATATGAACTTTCCGTACCCATCTAATTCCACGCGGCCGATCCAAGGCATGATCAACTAAATATATTGTTCCTGTCGCAGTAAAAGGGTTAACATCGTGTGAAGAAAACCGAGAGATTGAATTTTTGACCCGAATCGTAGAGGAGCCTGACTTGCCTCTGAAATCCCCTGAAGTGAAGTATGTTCTGCTGGTGAAACAGGAATCATTGCCTTTTTTTCCCAAAGTGAAAGTCTGTACATGTTAATTTCCCTGTCAGATACTGGGGAAATGAAGGACTTGATAGCTTCTCTCTGTTGAGTGAAGAACTAGCTATTATATTCTGCATGCGGGCCCTCACCCAGAGCAGCCAAATTCTCAAGATGTTGGCGTCAAAAACTGGAAGTACTTCAGGGCAAGTTATTGCGAAAGTGATTTTGGGTAAATGAGCTTTCCCGATCTTCTCTCTATGCGAAGGAAGAGATAAAGAGAGGAATGAGAGCGAGGCGAAATCTAGTTGAATGACCGTTTTCATATCCGCCGCCGTAACGAATTGTCCAAGCTCCTAGGAGCTTGACCTCCGAAACATAGAGTTCAAGCTCTCTGTCAAAGCGAAAGTTTATTCATTAGAAAGTTCGGACTCGGCTCAAGCTACGAGTTGATGCTCTGAGTAAGAGGCTCAGGTTTTACTCACATGGGTCAATGTTTTCCCATTCCTAATCGGGGAAAAATGGGTGTTTTTTTTGTACGTTCAGGGTGCAGTTTTTCTTGCTGAGAAAATAGAAGAAAAATGAACGGTTACTCAGGGAGGTCTTCGATAATCCGTACAAGCCATTACTCCAAACAAAATCACCAGTCCCCTCAAGTCCGAATTAACGAGAGTTGACCGTACTACATTTTTCACCCAAGGTTGTATTGTAGGGGCAGAATGTGACTTTCTAGTTTTTCTGAACTACCGAAAACCACAGAACAACTCTATACAGGATTGTTGGTGGAATTGTCAGTATAAGAAACATGATGCTTGCATGTAGCAAAGCAGAGTTGTGATGTCCTTGCATGCTATCCAGCTTCAAGCTATTATGCCCTGGAAAAGGCCTGACTCAAGTTTAACTCCAATACTAATCCAGCGGAAATTTATTTGCAATTTTTCTCTTTTTATGACATTTTTTGAGTAAGCGAAATGGAATATTCGCACTTCCGTTCAATTGTGCGCATGACAGTCCTTACAGTTGGCATGTGCCATTGTGGCATCACCCATTGCAGATATTGTAGCCGCGATTGTAACTAAAGCTATGCAAAGATGAATAAGGCTCTCATTTGCAATACAAGACTCCTGTCATTCAATGAAAAATAATGAAATAAAAGTACTTCCTAGAATGTCATCTGAGTAACGCGAGGTTTTTTTCCCATTTGTTTTAAGATCCCTCTGGGCCACAAGGAAATAGGAACTGGCCTGCTTTTTTAATAGAGTGCATTATATTTGTGTTTTTGGGGTGAATCCTCCCTAACCCATTCATGCTGAAAAAATTGTGTTGTTATGATAATCTCTGACATGCATAAGTATATGTGTTAAATAGGTCTGGGATCATTTTTAAAAGAATCTGACGCAGCTGAAACTAGTAATAGGATATGGCGACTTTCCTACTTGAGAACCCAGTCTGAGAGGTTCTGGGTCAGAAGGGAATGATAGGATTGCTTTGGACCCTTCGTGTGTAACACTAGTAACACTTTCACTGTTGTTTCACTGTTTCTGGTCCTAATTGCGTCGCTTGAATATTTGATGTTGCAGTGGCTGGCCGTGGACGAGCTGCTCGAGCAGGAGCGGCAGATCCGCTCAGCGATGGCTAGTCGAGCCGGGGTCTTGCCTCTCCTCCTCCATTCGACGTTTGACCATCAGATGGCTGCCAAAGCGCAGCAGCTGGCCCAGCAGCCAGAGAACAATACCGGCAGCAGCACGTTGCCATCGTGATCCTCTTTGTACAATGTTTGCATGTCGATGCTGGTCGTGGTGAGTAAAATGTGTTTCTTTTTTGTCATGTGTTTTTTGCTTCTTGTGGGTATGTTGTAGCATCACATTTCATCTAATTATTTTCATATTGATTTTTGTATGAATGGATAACATTCTGTGACGCAAGTACTTCACTGCGACATGTTTTTAATCAATGTATTGGGGTGGATACGAGAAGCGAGCCATGGCAATATGATGGCTACGTTACAGCTGTGCCCTATATCATTTCTTCAGTCACGCTTTTCTTTTGCCCTTGGCCTCCCAAATGAACAAACTTGAATGCCTTATTGTTGAGAGTTTTTGGAGGTTTGTGGCCCAGAATTACTAAGTCCAACTCTCCGAGGTTCAGACACTGTATGAGGCATGTCCTGGGGAGCTCCCCGAGGGAACGAGGACTTCAATCCCGAGTTAATCCGTTCAAAGCGTCATAAGTTACCCCCTGGCCCATAAATATCCAGTCTCGCTCAGCTTTGCTCTAAGCCTATACAAATGCATGAGAACAGCCTCAGTTCATGTGTCATAAGTCCACTTTTGAGCCACAAGGTTCTTTGACAACCGTGTTTTAGCCTCAATCTTGTTCGTCATATGCAGTTTGACCGTTAATCAACTTGTTCGAGTTTTCTTCATCCTATATATGACTTGTAGCATTACAAATTGTTAGACCTGTACGTTGTAAATTGCTATACTTTCTCGCCCGAATCCGGTAACGACTTGTGATTTCTTACCTGGACCAGTGCAACCAAATGATAGCTGGATATGAAAATGAACGTCTCTGTTAGCGAAAAGTCGCTTGAAATGGGACTCGCTGGCCATAACGAAGTCAGTAACACCATAACCAATCGGTTAAGGAAATTAAGAAAATTCCAGGAAACGAAAAAAAAAATTATCTGCCTCTCCTCAAGGCCTGTCATTAAAGAAGGAAGCCCTGGAGGGGATTTCACTCCCAGTTCCATTGCTCGTACCCAAACTATGTAAATCCGACGGAAATCGAGACAGGAAAGACTTCGCAACCGATGTCCTTGTCAATTTCAAGAAAGCCAAGGTCGACTGCGGAGATCCTTGGCATCGCATCTCGATTGAGGATTCTCGAAGCAGACAGGGTCGGCCTTTAAACTCCCATCGGACTCCCGTGGAGGCTCGTCGATTCCCGATTACGCCGCGCCTTTGTCGAGAAAATCGAAATTCCCACTAATGATCTATGGGAACCTTCAGTGAGCGAGTCGAACGGACCCCGGCGGGGGTCCGAAGTGCCAACAAAGGGCCTTTTACCCGGTAATCCCGCTCATAATTCTCAAGGCACGCCTCCCACCGACGCGAGTCGTTCCGCGGGGTCGACCGCGGGGTCGACCGCAGGGTCGATCGCAGTCGATCACGAGGGGTGTCGCACCTGCCTCGTATTTCGAGGCTCCTTCGTTATTGCTGGCCGTCAATATTGTGTCGTCGACTATCGAATTTTCAGACAATTGATGTTTCTCTGTATATTATATTCTGTGTGGAGGAGGAATTGCGACATGGTGGGAGTGTCTCTCCTCTCCCTTTAAAAAAAAAAAAGGAAAAAAAATATTGCGACGGAATAATAGAGCGGATCGAATCCCACTCCTACATAAATTTTTCTCTCATGCTTGTGTGTGCATTGCCACGAGAGAAGTCTGGGGCAACCCCAGCTCAAATGTCGGATTATGGTGATTTACGGCTCTGCTCACTGCAGTTCATTAAGTGGATTTGGGGACGCGAATTCAGTCGAGATCAAGGCGTTTTTTTTTTTTTTGCTCCTTTGGAAGTTAAATTATTTAAGCCACTTGGCGGCAAGCTCAGTGGGATTTGGCTGCAAAAATCCTCTTTCTTTCCCAGGAAGTGAAGGGTGGCCTGATAATTGAGCAAAATATGATTTTAAAAATGCTGAAAGATTACGTGCAAATACGAATAGCACTGCGAATTTTCAGCGACTTTCAGGAAATTCATTCGAGTTTCACTTTCTCGCGAACGTCGACGAAAGTGCTTTTTTTTTCTCAAAAAAAAAAAAGTCCGTGACTAAAACCGCAAATCTCGCCTTCGTCGAGGCACAAAAGGCCCCGCGCCGACAGGAATCGGCCGAGTTTCCGATTCGTCATTGAAGCGAATCGGCGATTAAACGAGAATCGTTAACGTATCGTTAACGTTAACGCGTTGTTAACGTGCTGTCGGGAGCGAACAACGCCGAGTCATGCGGCCAGCAAAGCCATTCTGTCCCGAAAGGGGCAAAGCAGACCCTTCAAAGGGGCAAAGCAGACCCTTCAAAGGGGCAAAGCCGAACCCACGAAGGGCATCAAAGCGTGATCGTGCAGTTTTAATTGTTTGTTCGAGCATCGGGGGGGAGCGCAGGGGCATCGAAGGAACGCGGGGCCACCTCATAACGCCTGTTTACCCTTACGAACTCCTAAAACAAAAATGAATGGCTCAACAGTCACTCAACAGTCATGATCTGTTTTGAAGACCCTGAATCGATTGTAAGAAGCACCACTCCACGAAACGAAAATCGAGGTTTTGCCTATTTCCGCCTGTAAAAAAAAAATTCCACCTGGCCCCTCGGCGGATCAATGTTTGCACAGAGATTTCCCCATAATGGCCGACGAGCGATGCCAATCCACGCCTTTCCGCGTGTTCCGCGACCGCCCACGCACGCAGGGAAACGGCTCGCGGCGGGACCCTTCCTCGAAATCCCGTGCACGGTCCCGGCGAATTTCACATCGTTAGAAAGTTCTAATGATTTAATGTCCTTTGATTCAATATGTAATTTAGGACTCCGCACGAAACGATCCTATAGAAATCCCAAGTGATTTTATAAACTTAAAAAAATCTCATAGGATTCCCATGGGATTTTATTTTTAATTTTAAACATTTTTTAAGCAAAAAAAATCCTATAATAATCCTATAATATTTTCATGTTTAAAAAATCCTATAGGATTCACGTGGCAATCCTATAAGATTTTTAATCCTATAAGATCATAAGATTTTTAATCCTATAATATTATAAGATTTTCAAAAAAATCCGATAGGATTCCCATTTCCTTCGTCGTTCGGGACGCCGTCCAGGAAGCTGGACAGGGCAATCAAGGAAAGACGGAAGTGTCCCCGCTACTTCGTCGCTCGGATTTTTTTTTTATGCAAGCCATTACATGACGAGCCTCATTACTTTTCCAGGGAAGGCTTTCTGAAATAATTATGATAATAATTATAATGAAGCGAAATATAATGCAGGTACTACAGGGTGGCTTGGAAGCCCCCTCATCATCATCTGACGCAGCTTCACTCGCCTCAAAAGGACTGACGATTTAATTTATAGGTTGTAATGAGGTTTAATTAGTTTAATTTATAGGTTGTAATTAGTACTTTATCGTGCGTGCGTGTTGTGGATATTGCACGAATTGCCCTGTTTTGGAGGATGCGTGGAGTCGGTATTGGAATTGCTGCCAAACGAAGGTGTTTCTCTTTTTTTCGCTTTGATTTTCATTCCCTCGGGGAACTTCATCAGCCGTTATCAGCGTCTTTATTAGCTGTCATTAGCCTTAAACAGCGTTTTCATTTGCCGGTTCATGCCGCTTCCTGCATCTTGATCTGCCATTATCAGCGTCTTTATTGTCCCATTTAATGTCGGAAGTTTCCCTCCGTGACTTACTTAACTACTACCGCCCCCCTCCCCCCTCGCCCCCCTCGCCCCCCTCGC